TACAGAAAAATACGCGCTCGGCAGGACTCGAACCTGCGAGGGCATAGCCCAGTGGATTTCAAGTCCACCTCCTTAACCGCTCGGACACGAACGCACAGTGGATCTGTGGGTCATAAATATAATTTTATAAACTAAATAATATTTATTTTTAGTGTACCACTATAATTTTCTACCCATAGCTTTATTACTTTTCCAACTGTTTATAAAAATTAAGCTGGGTATACTAAAAAAAGGGTATTTAAATACAAATATTTAGAATTTTTTTAGACTGTTTAAAGAGTAAGGAAAATGCTTGTTTTTTGACAGTTTAGAAGTAGGCCATGCCTTAACTTAAATAGCGAAAGAAGGTAAATAAAAAATATTAAAGTAATGCTCTAAGTTTTCGTAATTAACTATGGTCATGATCGTATCGTACCTTCCGCTCGAACTAAATATGTACATTCCTCTTAGAAACGCTTCGAGTTAAAAAATTATGAAATTACTTTCAGTATATTTAAAATAAAAACTACAGGAATATTAGTAGCAAGTAGTAGTTCTTTTTATATTTCACGTTATAATATTTCATTATATAAGTTATTTTTTATACATAGTATTAAGGTTTACCTTAAAATTAAAAAAAAAACAACACTGATCCTGCGCGAACTTGTTGATTTTTTTTTTTTAGAATAACTACGTTTTTTAAAGCTCATTCTCTCCAGCAATGCTGTAATAGTAGATTTACTACCTTCTTGAAGGTAAGTGCATTTTAACTTCTCATCTAAAATTCTCTTTCATTCTGCTCTATGATAGATCTTTACATTCATTAAAAACATGAGCCTGTGTTTTTCTATAGCAATTAATTAACTTTAATTTATGTTAACAATATTGCCTAGCGTTACGTGTACAAAACTATTATAGACAGGCGCAATCACGTTGGTGCATGCCTTTTTTTTTTGTTTTTATTAAATAAAGAAGTATACTAAGCATACTACTATTTATTATGTACAGTATTTTTGACTACTCCTAAATTCACGAGTACGTTGAAGAATAAATCTAACTGTTAGCTAATCTTATTAAGTGTACAAAGAGTACACATTATATATAAGAAGCCTTTTTAAATTATTTTATAGTAGTATATATTAACTTAAATAATAAATTATAATATTATAGAGACGCAATTGTAAATTACCCTATTTTTTTATTCCAACGGTTTTAGTTTAGCCCAGGATAATAATTTTTTAAGATTATAGTTTATACTAGGTGTTAAGGATACTTATGGATTTTAAAATTAGCTTAATAATTTTTATAAAGATAAAATAATTTTCAAATTTGTAATTTAGAAGATAATTGCTTTTGATATGCCACAAGTTTTGGAAATAACAAAAACACAAAAAGTTTTATGAAGCAAGTAAAAAATAATAGTTGCCCACTTTGTTAAAATAAGGAGAAGTCAATTACGTAGTACGCCCACAAATTTAAAACGCCAAAAGTATACAAGTATAATTTTTTTACGTCTTGCTTACAAAGAATTTATTGCTAGTAAGTCTTGTATGCTGCACTCGCGAACCTGGCAACATGTATAAGCGAAAGTCTTAAGGCAGACCCTGGTCTTTTGCTTCACTGCTTATTAGCGGGTTGCGAGTGGACTGCTACCATTATGCGAAAGTTAAAGTAATATAGCACTATGTAATTAAACAGGAAAAACAAAGAATTTGTCTTTATTGCTAAGGTTAAAGTAAAAAGGCAAACTTTTACTGGCCTTTATAAATCTTTTTTTAATGGAAAGGGGCAACAATCTATTCAAAGCAAAGGTATTGACCCGTCGGATTCTTGTTTTTATTAATCTTCATGGTGAACTTTAAGGCAGGAAAGATAATTTACTGATTAGTTTTTTTATTTAACAAAAAGGTTAGCACTTTATTAAATGGCATTCCAATTAAACTAAACAATAATATGCGGTTCCCACTTTACACTTATAGATACTGTCGGGGTAGATAAATTAATTTCTTACGTTACAAAAGGAACTTTCTAAAGGTAGTGATATAAAATTTTTAAAATATTACTTATATGGATATATTTAATTTTTTATAGCATAAAATTATATATATATTCTATTAATTAGTAGTGTCTTCACGAGTTTTGTTGCTTAGGCAATTTAAAAAAGAAAATGTCGTCTATACAATACAAAAATAATGCTCACATACGTGAAAGTTTTATTAATAACCAAAAGTTTTGCAACAACAAATAAATTACTTTATGCGTAGCTCAGCAAACGAACAAGAATATAAGTTATTTTTAAAATCAGTTCTATAAATAAAATTTAAGTGGCCAAGTATTTTAAATCTTCAGACTACGATTTTTCCAGAATAAACAATTTTGATTAAAAGTACTATTTCGAGTGTAGCATTACTAAAACATGCTTAACTAATAAAAATTGCTCTAAATCTAAGCTAGCTTTGCATAGCTCTCTAGAAAGAGTGCGAATCAAATTAAAAAACGGCTAATTGCTTTTACTGTAGGGTTCTGCTGGGCGTTAACTTGCTAGTAAATAAAAAACCAGATAAAACCGCCTCAAAGGTACAACTATATTTCATTAGTAATATACTTATTGAGTTGACATACTATATGTAATATTAACTCTATGCGATAAGCATATAGAGTTGTATGAGGTCCTTTTTAATTTACGGGATTTCCTAATAAATATGCTGAGAATATGCTACTACAAAATTAATAGTACTGAATCTACTTCTAAAGCATATGATAAGCTTCTAACTAATTACGATTATACATAACCACGGACCCAATGAGATAGATTCCTAAATCTTTTTTATATATGAAGGTTTAACTAAATTAAGACTTTTTTAAATGGAAGATTAACAGAAATTACTTAATATAAATTTTTTTATTGAAAGAAATAGTCAGTAGAATTGAAATATTCATAACTTTTAGCTCAATAATTTGAGGTACAGATTTAAGTATAAAAAAGGCTATTTTTTAACGCCTAGCACTTAATCAATTTTCGTTTATATATATATATATATATATATATATATATATATATACATAATTAAAGTAATAAAGTGATAATCTCTAATAAATAACTAAAGCGAAGAAGTAAAGGCTGGCGCCATGAAAAAATTTAAGCTTTAATTTCTTAAAGATAATAAGGCAAATAGGTATTTGTTCAATTAACTGATGTAAATTCTTTACTTAATATATTTTTCACAAGAAAGTTCTCACTATCATAGTCTCCTATGAGGTATTTTTATATAAAAATTAGTTTAAATTTAACAATTATAAAGAGCTTTAAGTGAAATAACTATATGGAAGTCTCGTGAGACGTTTTCTTCGGTGAATGCTATTTTGTATAAAGACTATTTTTATAACTAAAACCAAATTAGAAGAGGTAAAAAAATTATAGCCATGAAGGCCAAGCAAAAAACATAGTTACATCTAGGTGGTCCGGCAGTATGCTATAGTAACTTTTATCAAAATTTTGTATTTGTATAGACGTCAAGTTTTAAATATTAAACAGAGCAACTCCAGCACGAGGTTTGTAGTCTTTACCAATAGTATATTATAAATTTATTTTATTTTTATAGGCTACGTCACTGTATTCACTGTAAGAGTGACCTTAAAATTTTAAAAAAAATGAATCTAGTCTTTTATTACTGCAATGTAGTATTGTGGTAGGACGGCGGTATTGGCATAATATTAAGTTTTAAAAATAATTACTTTATATATGATATTTTTAATATGTGGTTATCTATTATAATTTAGGTAAATTCCGATATAACCTTTTTTAATAGGATTCAATAATAACGAAGTTTATCGGGCAAATAATCATTAATTGTATTAAAAAACAACAAATTACTTTACTTCTCAGGACGATAAATATTATTGTAACTTTATTTTATTTTTTATAAGTCCAGTTAATTGCATATTTTGCACTAGATTAAAAAAAATACATTTTTTTCATAACCTCAAAATTTTTAAACTTTTTTCACTTTTCTAATTTCCCTATTACGTTTATGGTCCCTCTTACGATTACGCTTACAAGTTAAAAAAACGTGGCAGCAAGGTTTTTTAACTATGCAAGCTCGTAATAATCGTTAACTTAACTAGAAAAGTGGGTTTGTACAGTAACCTTTCAGGTGGTAGTTACCCAGGTTTAGATTATATTTTAAACCTGCCAAACTTTTGATCAACAAAATAAGAATGGAGCATAGTGTTTCACACATTATCAGCTACTTTGTAATACGTATAATTTGTACGCAATTTAAATAGCGTTAACCTTAAAAAAAAGTAAGCATTTTTTATGTTTATGACTTAAATAACCTGAGAGATTTCATGCTTTTCTTTCTATTTTCCTAATATTTCTTTTTTAAAAGCAAAGGAACATGAGGTAGCAGTTTAGATATTCAACTTCGGAACAAATAGTTATAACATTTAACTTTTTTGTGTTTTTTTCAAGACCATCGTTGGAGCGCTATTTCAAGTGAATCTTAATATAAAATAATACCTCCATGTTAATGCTATATATTTATTATAACCTCAGAAACAAGTGCTCTACTTTCTTAAATAACATTTAACTAAAACTCCCGAAATCTCTTATAAGAAAACGTTGATAAAATATTTGGTACCAGTTGAAATTCACAGTCGAGAGCATACAATTAAATTTTACATAAACCCTAATGGATAATTTCTAATCGAAAATTTTTTTGTGTATGCGTCATGAGGTAGAATGGCCCGAAAAAAACAAACGACATTAAATAAGAAAAAGTGTTTTCAATGTCTAACCTTAAAACTAAGTTTTTGGGTAGTTTTCCTCAAACTTTTTACTAGTTTTGGAGCATTTTTGTTGTTAGCACGCGACTTTTAGATACTTTTCCGTAATACTAAATTTATATAGCAGACAATGCGCCTTCTTTTAGTAAGTTGGGGTTAAGAAATAAATCTTCCAATACAAAAAGACTGAAAATTACTAAGTGTGCCTACGACGTTATATGACGTTATTGACTAAATAATTGATGGACACTGGTTCTTAAGACATTACAACTTTAGAGAAGTTTATGGCCAGTTCCGATTAAGATAGAAAAGATTTTCTACCTTCGGCTTCGAGTAAAGTCGGCTACTAAATTTTGGTTACCATGGCTATGCACAAACTCTTTTTGGTCGTTTCTTTGTTTTTAGCTATAGGATGTTGCAACGATAATTTGGAGCTGGATCATACAAATAATTACAGAAAAAGTCTAAATTGCTTTAAATTGTAATAAAATTTTAATCAATGACTGCTCCCTTTACATCGCACTCTTAAATCAACTATTTAGTGGCGTGATAATTAACATATACTTAAAAAACCTGTTTTTATTATAATATAACAACCTTATAACTATATATTTGTTTAGAAATTCGGTCTCTGAAGGGCATCAAGAGCTAGAAGCCTTAACCTATTCTAAACTTATCAAAGCAAGTTCGTTTCATTCCTTGTAATTTAATGAATATATTTAGTATTTACATTAAATTATAAAAGGTAACAGGGTGTGAATGCTAATAATAATCTTTTATTATATTTTTTATGTGGAAAATTATGCGCAAAGTAGGCATGCGACTCTAATCTTAAGTTCTTGACTTACTCCAACGCTAATGTTAAGAAACTTATAGTTTTTATAACTTTATTCTAATGTTCGTTAGTGTTACAAATAAAAATATATTTGAACCGCCCTAGAGCAAAAAATTGTGTTAAACCTTAATATGTCAGTTCTTGTTAAAAAAAGAGACTTATTAAACTACTTTTTTTGTCTTAAAAATAAGCAAAAACAAGTTAACATTTTTTACAAATTCAGTTTGTATATCTTACTAATTGCCAACATTAATAGTGATACTGCTCTTATATTAATTAATTTCTATTTAAATTTAATTCATGATAATGCCGAGTAAAGAAACCTAAGTGACTGTAACATATCTACTATCAAGGGGAAATCATTTATAGGTTTTAAAACGTTGAAGTGCTCGTAAGTTTGTTATCTTTAATATTTTACTGACAAGTTAATTAATAAATTATAAAGTAATATGTTTAAATCTAACTATATTGATAGTACGTTGATGTTATTTATAAAAATTCCAAGGGGATTTTCCACCCTAGTTTAGAACTATTTAAATATAGCTGATAAATTTAATGTAAAATACTAAAGTTCAGTTTGTCTTAAGTAATCTTTCGTGAAATATGTTATAAATATAAATGTAATTCATAATGGAAAGTAAAGTATAGTGTACGTTTTTTTCTTAGTAACTTTCTTTTTAATAGATTTATTAATAATAATAAGTTAACTACACTTACTTCGGAATGTTTCAAGGTCTAAGTTCATTAACTTATTTGTAAACTTTTGCTTCTTAAACTTTATTTCTTATTAAAACAGTAAGTTTTTCATAAAATTCTTGACATAAGCAATTTCTTCATAATCTGCTTGAGTCTTATTAATTTTGTGTCATTAAAATATCCTAGTTATACAAAGTAGCTTCTACTGAGGATAAAAGTAACTTTATTATAAAAGTTTTTATTAATTTTAATTATTTAATTTTAATTATTAATGAATTTTTATAACTTATTTAAATTTATCGGTAATAATTAATCTTTCTATTCCTCATTATTAAACGTATACATATATATTAAGAGCTCTTTGTTGTCACTACTTACCATTTTTTAAAAGAAATAGAATAGCTTTTATTTTATGTAGATTAATGATCTGTTCTTAATTGTTATTTTTAGAAATTAAATAATTGTTGCAAAGAAAGCTTGAAAAGCTTTACTAATTTATCCTTCACGAACAGAGATTTATCTAATAATTCAATAACTTTGGTTTTTGGCAAAAACTTTCATCTTTTATCAAATTTAAAAAGGTAAGTTATTTATAATGAAAAAGGTTTTTTTCATAGAATTTTGTTCAGATATATCCTATTAAACACAGTCTTTAATTTACTAACTATCAACAGTGTTTTAAACAGTAGTGAACTTTTTATGATACCTGAAGAAGCATTTAGCCAATTGATAGAGAATTTGTAAGTTATATTTATAATTTAGGAAAACAAGAAAAAGTTTGTAGATTTTATTACTATTAAGATTCCGTAGGTCTACCCTACTTAGGTATTTCTATATATGGTGTTTCATTAATAGGTATTTGAGGTCGAACAGTATAGACTATATCTGTATTCGCTCTTTTAGCGGACTCCTTTCTATTCGCCAAATGTAAATATCTTTTTTCTGATAAGTACACACCTTTATTTTTCAAATAAGGGAGATAATTATTAGCAGTTCTCTTTTAAGTTATAAATTTAGCAGATTTCTAAGCTTACTTCTTGATTATAGAAATAATTATATTTCCTACCGTTTAAAATTTCGCCAAAATGTGAACAAGTTTAATAAATAGCCAAACATATTTAAAACAAAGGGAAATTAGGATTTCACGAAGTAATTACTTTTTGTAAACCTTGATTAGTCCACAAATTTACTTGTTAGGATATTATAAATTGTTATTAAGCTCATTTTTAAGTATATTTCGCAAAAATGTTTGCATAAAATAACATTTAGTTCATGTTATAAAAGAAACCGTTAGTATATTATATTTTTCCTCGTAGTATATATTAAATAGTAAAGCTTTACTTTTTAGTGTCGTTAACTAAAAGGTTCACTTGAATTCTATAACAGAGACTTAGTTATTAATCCCGTCGATAGTCTCCCATCTTTGACGTTTGATTCTCGGACTTTAAATAAATTGTAAGTTTAATTTTCTTTCTTCAACCAATTTCTAACTTATTAAAATTCCAAAGAATCAGTATAATTGCTAAGGCATTCTGTTGTTGTATTACAACTCTACATGAGAAAGTAGGACTTTTCGCAAAGTATAAAACCTGCGAAAGTAAAGAAGTTGCTTGTACACAATTTATAAAGGGGTCTCCTGAAAAAATTGAGAAGGTTTCAAAAAAAAAAAACTCTTCATTTAGAAACTAAGTTATAAAAGAAAGCCAAAAGCTTGCCGAAATTTATTTTTTTGCGTTAATTTGGTTACCAATATAAGTACTGGTTTAAAAAATGTTATAATGGACAAAGACTCTGTTTAGCTATGTTACAGAGAAAAGTAGCGTTTGTCTAGTATATTCCTTGTTGAAACCTTGCAGTTAATTATTATTTATATGTAAATGTACGTATAGTATTTCTAGTAATATTTACATACTAACGTATAAAAATAGGTTACGGACAAAGGAAACGGTAGTAATGAGAATTTAACTGAAATTATTGATAACTCTATTAAAAGTCATATTATACATAACCAAAACGAAAAAGAGGTACTTCGTATCACAGCAAAAAAATATGTTTTAGACTTATTCTGATGACGCTACTTTATAGTCTGTAGGAGATGAAGAGCCGCCCCGCTTCGCTATACCTCTAACTTTGATACTAATTGTTATCATGTTTATAACGGTTTTTGGAACCACTTTTCTTCTAAGAGTTTTATAATAAATAAGTAAGTTCTTTATTTTTTCAAAAAACGTATATACACTATATAACTGCAATAAAATTGTAAACAACTATATACCTTTAAACTTATTAGTGCGCTTTCTTATTCTCTACTAATATAGAAATAGAGGTAGTGTCATACAAAAAGCAAACTTAGCTTAAGTGGTGAAGGGCAATAACAATATTTTTAAGTGTTTATAAAAAGGTTTAAAAGTGGTACGCTGCAAAGATGCAAAGATTCATATAATTATAAGTGCTTCAAATAAACGACGAAACGTATTCTTTAAATATAAAAAATGGTACAACTGTTAAATAGAATTCATTTATATATAAAAGCAAACCCATAATTTCTTCAACAAATTCCTCAGCTTAAGATTGCCACTAATTTCTTTAAATTTAATAGCAGCAAAACAGCGTGTAGGACTTCATATTTATACTATCAATTCAAAATGTAATCAGTAACATTTATTATTTTATAATTGACATTATTATAACAAGGTTTGGAGAAGAAATTTAAAAAATTACTGATTTTAAGATACACCAGAAATATAAAGCTATGAATAGTACTTCTGAGTATATAAAATGACCTTATGCACTCGAGAAACAAAAAAAAGTTGCAAGTTATTATTAACAAGTTAGCGTTGTACTTAAGAGTCTTGAGCAAAGAAGCGCATGTAAGTGGGGCAATATATTTTTATTACGTAATGTTAAGGATCTTCTTCCCTCTAGTATAAAATTTAGTTTATTTAGTGCATCATTTAAAACTTTATAAAATAACCAAAGTTTTTCTTTTCGGTGTGATAGCGTACAGTTATTTATTAGTGTGACTCATAAACTTAGTCATTATATATAAAACTTATAACTAAAATTGCTTAAGAAAGATGGAAAATATCGCATAAAATTCTTACAATGAAAAAGTAATAATGGCGGAGGTTCTTTCAAGTTATACTACCGAAACCACTAGGAACAATAGGGAAAAAGAACTTCGACAATTTTTTTAAATTATTAATAACTCTCGCAACAGCAAGTTTTCTTCATCAAACTATGAGTGCTTCAAGTCAATTAATACTAAACAGTTTGTACCACTACCTTTATATAGTAAAAAGGGTAAGTAGGAGAGTATTTCGAATAAGGTTTTTAACAGCCAGCGCAGGGCTTACGTGAGAAAATAAAAAGTAGAATTATCTTTTCCTTCTCTGAGCTTTATTAAAAAAAGGTTTTGAGCTTATTTATTACAAAGTAAAGGTTGACCTTTCATTTCTACAAGATTTATTTATACTGGTTATATGTACTTAACAATATAAAGTAGTGAAATGGTAGGAAGTCAGTAAAAACTACTTAACCAAACTGTTACTTATTAAGTATTATAGGACACTATGGCAGGCATCATACGAGAAAGTCAATTATTAACTACACGCAAGTAGGCACAACGCTAATAAAAGGGAATTATCAATGATTATAAAAGGGTCTTTGGTAAATAAATTAGATTGAAGATTTGTTTATATGATCTTAGTATGCTTTTCACCTTCTTTGTAATATAGCATTAGATTACCAATATGTTTACCAAAAACCAATCGTTATACTCATAGAACGCCTTAAGAAAGCACATAAAAAAATCTATATTAATTTTTTCAAGGGGGAGATAACAGTCTAACGAAAATACTTCGTTTTAATAAAAAAAGACAAATAAATCCATCAATGCTAACCTTCCTGAACAACTAAAAAAAAATTAAAAAAAATTAAAAGCTGTGTTCTATATTTATGGAATAATACCATAACAGATTGACAGTTAAAGATCGTAAAAGTATGGCATAAGCAACGTAATTCTTATAGGTAGAACGCAGTTTTTTTAAAAAAGCACATAACTAAAAAGGACGGCAACCGGACCTAAAAAAAATCAAGGCTCTTACCACGAAAACAGATAACATATACACCCACAAACCATCCTATAATATAAAGTTACAACAAAAAAAACACTAAATAACACAGTATACAGCAAGACCTAAGACACAGAGCAAAACACATGATACAGTATACACAAATATACAAATTACAATACACAAAAAACACTAAACACTAAACCCAAGCAAAACAGAACACAAAGCAAGCCCTTCTAAATTTTAACAAAAAATGTTTCGTGTGTAAACCAATCAACTATCTTGAAACTGGTTAATAAAAAAACAGGAAAAAAAGAAATTAATTTTTTACGCATACACAAATAATTTTGATCGTCATTAATTAGCTACAAACTAAACAAAGAATAATATATTATAATCTAGTATATTAACAAATAAAAATACAAAATGCAAGTAACTTTTTAAGTTTTTATTATGGTATAAATGTATGTCATTCTGTAACTAATAAGGTAATCGTTAAGGTTTATTCGCTCTTGCGTTTTGTCTTATTTTTGCTGTTATGCTCGGCATGTAACAAGCCCACGTGATCTTCGACACGCTCAAAATTGTGGGGCCCGCTGCCGCAGCAGCGGAGGCTTAATAAAGTTATCTTTTTCATTGCTGATATTCATAGTATTACACTCAATTAGTATTATACGCCGACCTCCATGCGTTGACTTAATCATTTTCAAATATAGAAGTACTATATATTAACACCGGCAGCTTTACCGCGGCCTGCTAGCTAGTTGGGGAACATAGCAATGTGGCAAGGCGCTCTTTATATCAAAACTGATCCTTAAATAGGAAGTAATTAGTCAGCTAGCTTTTAAAGAATGATTGGATTCGAAAAAAGAATTATTTTAAATATTTTATAAAAGCATTTAAAGTGAGCAGCAGCAGCTCTATGGAAACCTCACAGTATTAACAAGATGTAAACTAACTTAAAAACAATTTTAAGGAAAGCTTACGATAGAACATTAAGCATAAATTAAGGAAAAGTAGTTTATCTTTATCTTACAACTTTATTATTAGAAGATAATTTATAGGTTTACTTTTGATGTATGGAAATAGCACTTTTACAAATGGATAGTTACAACAATTCGCCAATGGTAACATTGCTAAGTTGGTAAGCTTATAGAGAAAAATAATAATAGTCGTGCAATTTTTAACCAACTATACTTAAAATAAAAAAGATATTGTACTTTCATCTCTTATCTTAATACTTCTGGTGTATGTCCTTCTAAATCACTTTTTTATTTGCTCTATATTAACTAAAGTTACGCCTTTCTTTTCTTATCACCTATTACGTTTTAATTCTATACATACGTTATATTTATAACGAGCGAAGCACTAGAAGAGCTCGAAATAAATATTAATTTGTTTGTCCAGCAGGTCGGGGTTCAATACTTTTAAAAAAAAAAAAACTAAAGTCACATAGATGATAAATAAATTTTAATATTTATGAATATATATATATATTTATGTGCACTACTTAATATATTCGCTGGTTACACTATTTCATCCTTTTTGGAATCTTTTAATAATTATTTATAAGTGAAATTCTGGCGCGATTTCTTACAAGTTCTGCCAATCTTATAAAGTAGCGAATAGCTTATAGAACATAGTGAAAGCCGTTTCATAGTAAACTTTAAAGGTATTATGCATTTGTTGATGGCATATTCGCGTTTTACTCTTCTAAAGCCTTTACATTTAAAGCCTAGGCGGGAAGGTAGGTTCACTAAATTAAACATAACTCGATGAAAGATTATTATAATGAATATAATTATAGTTCATGATAGTTGCTCACAATATTTTGACTAGTAATAATATCTATATGTACAAATATTAGTTATATTTTTACTACTCAGAAAATAGATCAGTAAATAGCTTAATATAATATTTCTACTTCAGGCTTGGTCATTCATAGTTTAAAAATTAAGGAAATTAGGGAAGTCAAAACTAAACCATTAGACATTTTAGCTTATATAAACATTACTAGGTGGTGCGCGTAAAGTTAAAAGTAGCGGGTGAGTTAGGTATGTTTAATTTCTTGTAAATCATTGCTGTAAGTAGCTAATTTTATTTAAATCCTTCTTAAAATAGTTTTATTGAGTCGTGCTATTAAGCGAGAGACAACCTTAAAGTGGGCGAATTTTGGAGACGTTGCAAGTCCGGTTCTGGATAACTTATTGCTACATCCGATCGTTCTCACAACCCTAAAAGCTTGGAAGCTGTGGGAGAAAGGGGGAGGTTTACTTCATCTTAGATGGCACTAAGAGGGCCAGTGTCGTCTCTGTTTTGAAACCTCATGGTAACCCACTGGCAACAGTTTACTTGAAGGCGAGTTGCAAGGAGACGTCCACAGGTTTAAACACGTTAAATCTTCAAAGACTGGAAAGAAGAGCCGCGTCGGTGAAAAATGAACCCACGACCTTGGATGTGCGCTTCGTTGCTCTCAACCGCTGAGCTACGCCGACAAATCCTAATTCCGGTAATATGGTTTTACGTATTCAACCTGTTAGACATGGGCCGCGGCATATTTATAGTATCCTAAGTAATAACACTATGTTAAATACTATCCTTACCCAGTACTAGCTAGCGAGATAGAAAATAGATGATAGTCAATAGTTAGTCAGCAAAAGAGTACTATTTTATATTCCCAATTTAGTTTAATACTTGAATAAGATACTATTTCTCCAAAGCATTCTTAAATTAGGCATGAAGTCTTAAATCCGAGTTAAACAACATTATTACGTATCACCCGTAATAGTAACCCGCAACTATACGCAAAGAAGCAGGAATTAATTATCTTTAGACCCTATAAGTTAGAATGAAAACAAAATCAAGTCATCAATTCTAAGTGCCCCTCCGGGTCGAAGCGCCGAGTAAGCAAGTACTTGGATTAAAGAGAGAGCAATAACGTTTGCATATTATCAACAGCAATAGCCGACACTCCTAATAGCACCTAAGCGTCCATAAATGTTCGAAGCTTAAGGATGATCATTGCCTGGCACACTCAGAGCTGTAGAGCACTTAGCCCAAGTGAAAGGTAAGATAGAACGTTCTACAGGTGCTACTGTCTACCTAAAGTTTCAAAAATTTTAAAGTGACTCTTTGGAATCGTGTGGTCTATTATATATTTTAATTGTGTAAACTCATCTATGCCATTCTAAAGTACCCTGACTTCCTGATTGCTTTCTTTAGCAAAGCAACCTTTATCAAAGACAGACGTTTTTAAAAAAATTCAGTGTACTAGAACCTACCAAGTTGTTTAGTTAAAATGGCCCAACAGTTATAGAGGTTGTTACTAGGCATCACTGGAGCGCCAGCGAGTACATGAAACAACCAATCAGTCTTGGGATGGATATGTGACCTATACAACGTCCATTGTGCTCTGAAATACGAGAGTGCTTAGAGACAACTATAATTAGATCCGTTGAACTTTACTATATGCTTCTTTATTACAAGCGAGACCTAATACGATGCTTCATGATCGTAAGGAGGGTAGGTGTCCGCAGGAAGTAAATGCTTTATTTTAACTGTTTCTAAAATTTTTTTTGTGAAGTTTATTTTTAATTCAGTAATAGTAATTAATATATGCTACTATAAATTAATATTTTTAATTTTTTTTAAAATTATAACTAGTTTTTTTTGCTTTTATATATGTTAATTAAGTAATAATTTATATAAAGATTTTTCTCTCCAGGTATATTTTTTAAATTAACCTTTCATTTTTTTTTTTTGTTCAAATTCTTTCATTAGACATATTCTACCTCTAAATGCTCAAAGAATTTGTTTTTAATAACATGTACCTACCGGTAATGATTGATGTGTTATACGCTTTTCTTTGGACCAACTTCCCTTCTTGCTCGAGTTGGGTGAGAACCGGACCATAGCGAGGCCCCGTAGATGGTTATTTATAGTGAAAAATCCAACCTATTAGAAGCTGCAGTCTAAAATTTTGTAGACGTGCTAACTGCTGCCTGCTACAATTACTATTGAAGGTCGTGTATCCTCCTGGTTGTCTGCTGAATACCTATAAATAATTTTTTAACAATTTGTCCTGCATATAAATAACAATGTGGCAATTTTTGTATATAAATCAAAGGCAGGGACACGAGCTTGGGCATTTTTTTTTTAATTTTTAAAAAAAAGAATTATAGTTTGTGAAAAAATTGCTTTATTAGAATTTTAAAAACTTTCTAAAAATGGTTTTTAACTTTCTTATCTACTTTAATTAATTGTGTAGAGTAAATCAGGAATGCATATATTTAAATAAGTTTTCACTACTTTTTCTTAATCTCCGTCTTATATAGTTCTTGTGATTAAACTATAACCCCAAAATTATGAATAAAATAAGATGTAGAACCTGAACTCTTTTATTAAATTACTGCCGGATACACCTGACAGACTTTAATCTCGAGCAATTTTATTGTTTTAAAATTACTTGCTGGCTTATTAAAAAAATAAATGTTTATAATTAATCAAAATTGTTTCCTACTTGCACTGCACACTCAACTTTTAAAGCTAACTTTTAACTGGTCGGCGCGTTTATTTAAACCTATTATTGGAGCTTATTTAACTGAAATCACAATACTAGGTGAGAAGATAAACTAACCAGACTTAAATCAATAAATTTTTTTGCGATGTGATAGTTTTTTTATCGGTATAAAGGAATTTTCTGTACGTTCATTTACCTTAATGCAAGCTACAGATTATAACTAGTAACCATACTGTTGAAAAACTTTTTTTTAATTTTATTGTGGAAACTGAGCAAATTATTAATTACCAAATTCTTTTTATGGTTACTTAGATTTACACTTTAGCGATGCCGATTTAATTTATACTAAAAAATCAAATGTGTAACCAACGACAATATTTTTTATTTTTTTTTAATCCGTTAAAAAAAATTTAAGTATGAGTCAGGTCTCTAACTAAAAGACTTAAGTAATCTCCGAACGAATATAATTTTTGACATTCTTAAAAAGAAACATTGGTTTGTTTAAACTTATATATTTGTAATTATCCAGCTCCTATTTTCTATTACATATTTCATCACACTGTAAGCTCTATATTTAACAGGTAAGCTCATTCGTAGACAGAGCAGTCCTATATATTATCCTATGTGGGTTTGGGGTAACAGTATAACTACATGTGTTGAACTAATATGAAAAAGCTAATTTTTAGATAATAGAAACCTTTTTAGGTGACAGCATAATTTATTACTATTATAATTTTAATAAAACTATTTTTTGATAAAAAATTTACATATATTTCATAATTTACTTCTTTATGATAAAAATCCCTTTGAGTCTTAATGATACGTTATTTGGGAGATGAATGTTGATAACTAATTTATACCTTCGTATGCTAAGGGGTGTACGGCCCTAAATTGCCTATGAAATATGTACGTAAATTTGAAAATTTAATCAGTTGTCTAAAAAATCCTGATTGCTTAAAAAATTAAAAACTAAGTACCTTTACTAATGCAGCAAATATGACAGTCAAATTCCATTTTCTGCTAATGGTTAAGTCTAGTGCAAAAGGAAGTATATTATATATTTAAACTTTTATCAATCAAACATTAAGTAATTTGTCTTAAAGAGTACCAAATATCTATAAAACACTAACTTAACCTTTTACCTACCTTACACTCTTTAAGTTGTACTAACAACTTTTAAACAAGCTAAAAAAGATTGGGGCATAGATTGTTAATAGTAATGTTTAACAAACAAAATAACCTAAATTTACTTAAATTTACTAAATCTGATAAGCTAGCTGATAAGAAACCTTTATTAGTTACAACTAATAAATTTTAATATAATAATTAAGATTAAGATATATAATTATTTAGGTTTCACAGGGAGCCCTTTTATATTTGCTAGTAATAAGAACATACAAAATCAAATTACTTCTTGTAATTACAGTTATTTTAATTGTACTATATCATGAATTTATAATATTTAAAGTTTTCAAGTGTTAACAAGTTCATTTCTTAGAGCTCATTAACCTTAAAAGCTCAATTAACTTATTTTACCATTGTTAGTAATCAGGCTTATGCCTCACATTTAGATGATAATTTGTGATTATTAATTTAAGTTTGTTTAACTAGTATCTAAGACTAAAATCAAAATAACTTGATGGTTAATTTATTATTAAAAAATTAGTTAGCAACATATATTTATCACAATTGAAAAAAAACCGTTTTGGCAACAAAAGAGTTTACTCTTACGCATTTATTGGCTCTTCACACTTAATTTCCTTTTTAAAAAAATCCATGTAAAAGTTTTGTATAAGTGAAATTGTTATTTTAATAAATATGAAAAATATTATATTTAACATTTACTAATATATTCTAAAACAAATTAATTTTAAATACATTGTCTCTTATTGCCAAAAATCAATACCATCTTTCCTTCGCTTTTAAAAGCTTCGTAAACCCAGATAGATAGGGAAATAGTTAATATTTAATGTCACTATACTTTTCCCTTGTAAAATCTAAACTATTTTTTTTAGGGAAAAATTAGTTCACTCAGTTTATAAATTTGTTGTCATATTAGAATTATCTTTAAATATATTTTTTTTTATGTAGTTTAAATTTTTTTTAAAATTACTATTAATCGTGAATATTAACATCATATCGCCTATAATAAGAATAAACATTAATACTTAGACAGTGTTATCTATATTTTATTTTATATTTCTTTCATCGTAATAAAAATATGGTAACAAGCTTTTAATATAAAACAATAACTAAAAATTACTGTGCGGTCAAAATTTTAATAAATTAAACCAAAAAATTTAATCAGTTGACAAAATTTCTTGTCCTAACAAATTAACTCTAACATAAAATTTCCGCTTTTGTTAAATTAAGACGAACGTACTATATATATTATAACTTTTCCTCATTTTAATAATACTATTAAGATGTTTTTCATTGGAACTTTAATAGTATTTATTTATTTTAATGCTTTTAAATGTTCACCTCCTCCAGAGTATAAAAATGCGCTTAAAGAGTGTAGACTATTAAACTGCCATAATTTGTAAGAATCCATCTTATATTTTAAAGTTAGTAACTCTTCTCTCATTTAGCTTTTTCATTAGTAATGCATCAACAACCAGATGATGGCTATTAATATTTATTCTTAATGTCAAATTTGTTTGTTGCCATATACTACTTTAGTATTGGAGTAATTTAATAAACATATTATTTACATTTAAGGATTTTAACTGGATTAAACATTAACCAACTTCAAGCAGAAGAGTTAGCAGAACTTCCTTATGTAAAATACTTGTAAGTTCTGGCCATTTGTATGTTATTCGAGGGCCTTATAGTATTAGTCTTTACAGCAATAAGTTGTGTTAACTTTACTAAATCCAAAGAAAAAATTATGAAGTATATTTCTATAAAGTGACATTAAAAAAGTAAACTAAGTTTTTTTTTTTTAGTTTTTTCAGATAAAATTAATATATTTCAAGTTTTATTAGGTAATAATTTACTATATTAAAAAAAGGAGTTTAATAAATAATTCCATAAGTTCTCTTCCCTCCGGGATATTCGAAAAGCTTAATTCCTTAATAACATTGTAAGAAGTTATTACTTTGTCTAAGGCTATAAAGGGAGATAATTTCTACCCTTTAAACGTTAAGAAAACTCTCCAGAAATTATTTGACATTCATTGACTCTGCTACTTTTAAGCAATGTTCTACTTTAAAACAGTTGTAAGCATTTTTTTTATTTTAACTTTTCTTAATATTTTTTTAACTATTCAATTGTGGCTTTACTGTAATTTTTAGGTGGAAAAAATGCACTTTTTAACAATATTTATTATTCTTTATTACTGTAAACTATTATAGAGACCTCTCGAATAACCTTATTACATCAATTGACCGTGATGGCTTCGGAGGTATGCCCCAGTTAACCTCATTGTAAGTTTTTTTCTTTTCTCTACTTAATATATTGTTAAAGTATCTGATTCCAAAAATATGTAGAGATCTAGGATCAAACAAACTGACTGCTATAGAGAAAGAGACTTTTTCGAACCTCCCAAATCTACAACGCTTGTAATCTCTTGTTTTTTATATTTTTATAAATCATATTATAACATTATAAAAGATATACTTTTTTAAAAATTAATTGATGTACAATTACTATTTACTTTCCTCCTAATTGTTAATAAAAAATAGTAATTTTTATTATTATTTTTATAATATTTTCATTTTTTATATATCTTTTATAATTTAAATAATATTTTAAATTATTAATATAAAAAGATACTTGAACAAAAACAACATTAGTTCCCTTAAATTCAAAACGTTAAGTTGGCCTCCAAATTTAAAACTACTGTGCGTTGCTAGTATATTTATATAAACAATACATTATAAGCTGTTGCTATCTAGGGACTTGGAAGGAAATGAACTGGTTCACATTGACATAGATGCCATTTCAAGCTTAATTTCGCTGGAAAACTTTTAAGTTTTATAGAAAAAATATTATTTTACTAGTGTTACTATAATATTTACAACTATAGAACTCTCACTATACACGAATCATTTCCTTGCTGTCGTTTGGTGTCCTTTGAAGAACTTTTTAAAAAGTTTAAAATTTATCCAGTTCGTTGCTTGCTTTCTAATGAGGAGATTGTCAGCTACGAGACTTATTATACACTTAACCTTCTGGTTTAGGAAATTTTTATAAAAAGCACTTAATTTATTAAATAAATTATTCTCACAATTTTTTTTTACTATTTTCTTTTAGATTTTCTTGTAGTAAAAGCTGATCACTATTATAAGTTTAGAGTTACTGTTTTTATACACTACCGTTATCTTGTTTTTGTTAAAAAGTTGTACTTATAAGAGTTAAAATAAAATTACAATAATAGAAGCAAAGTAAATTATGTTGAGAAATGAATTAATAAGTACTTATGTACTAATTTATATATGATTTGCCCATAATCTGGTACGCACACTGTAAAATTCGATTTCTCAGAAGAAACTAAGAGAGGAATAAGGTGAAGCAGTTAAATGAGCTACGCATATCGACTATAGTAGGCCAGTAGTATATATATATTGATAAAAAAATAAAATATTGTAGAGCTAATAGTAGACAAATAACTAATAGCTGCATATCGACTGTAGAATTTAAGTTAATACATATAAATCAAATAAAAAAAAATAAAGGCCGCATATCGACGTTCGTATGTCGGTAAATAATATAAGCAAATAAAAAGGACAGTGGTATAACAAATAGTATACAAACAAGTGATAGCTAAGTCTCATTTTATGTTTAAAAAAAAAACCACGTAACCGCCTTAATTTAGCTTCCTCCCATTTCTCTTTTTCTTTTAGACTAACTTATGATTAAAAGAATTAGGAATATAATTTTAAAAATACCTTTTTTGAGTATACTAACAAATATAAAAGTTATACATTATACCGGAGTGTAACTAATTATTTCTACTCCCACCGTCTTGTGGTACTTAAAAACTTGGCACAATTTGTATTGGACGTTTCAGATTTAATGGTCAACAAAGTAAAATAATTTATAATAACTTTAACTAAACTAGTAAAATAACGGTTTTTTATCTAACGTAGCATTATTCTTAAAGTAGCTTACTTTTAAAATTGTTTTTCCTGGAAACTTTCTAAAGTTATAAATCTTACTTTTATATTTTTAGTTAATAGGATAGAATTTAAACAAATTCCTCTTTTCTGTTACTATGACTTTTTGGAAGAAATTTTAACCTCACTAGCTGTTGCTAATGACTGGCTTAAAGTTATACGCTGAAGAAGTAACCATTACAGTTTATGTATTATATATATTTAATATAAAAATTTTTATTATTAATTAAATATTACTCTTTTACAATAACAAAAATGTTGTAATACTATATCTTTTGTTTATTGTTTTAAACCAGATTTTAAATTCCATGTCTATCTTTATTATTTAGGAGGGCCATTAAAAAGTTTCCCAAGTTACAGAAGTGCGAAATATAGGAAACTGCATATGTAACCTGTGTACCTTTTACGAAAGGTAACAAGCTTAATTTACTTATTTCTAACATCTCGATAAAAAGTTGGTGGGGCTGGGCGCTTTCTATAGCCATAGTGCAAATACTATAACAGGAATTCTTTTAAATTACTGGCCTACTACGACCAAGTCATAGGGGCGCCTAGCGCTTGAGCATCCCCTACTCAATGGATTGGGCCCAGTGCCGGCCTCCCAAAGGAATAGCACGAGTGTCCCGAGAGGCTAAGTAGCGGAGGTATAAATGACTCAAAAGAACTATGGTATTTCGACTTGGAAAGGTGGAAAACCGCTGAAGGCCAGCACTAAGCGTGGTAGCCCTAAGTAATAGAGGTCTTCCGAAGGCTAGCTGTCAACCACTCTTCCTCGACTACGAGTTCCAAGAGGAATGAGCTCCTATAAAGTGATTTTAGCAGCTGTTCTTGGTTCATTAGCAGTCAATAATAGTTGAGGAGCCATAGGGTGTCTTGCCTTCGTCCCCAATAGTAGTTGAAGTCGGAGACACAGACTGAGCAGCGAGAAAATCGCCATAGAGCTTCTTCTGCAGCTACAAACACTCCCCGCGGTTGTGCCCTCCCAGCGGTTAATTTAAAGAGAGGTTAGCTCTTTTGTATCTGTAAGAAGGTGCGGGGTATGAGTTGGTTGTTGTGCTTTTGTTTAGCAAAAAAACGCAAGGCGTATCAACCGGTGACGTTGAAGAATAAAATTAATTAAATATCCAGTTATCAACCAGAGCGATACACAACATTGTAAATGGTTGTCGGGGAACCATGGGCAGCTGTGAGGGCGACCTCTAAACTATTAATTGTTATTGAAAAAGCGGGAGTCAGGAGGGTGCTGAGTTGGGAAATAGCGAACGACTGTAAAATTTAATTCAATTCTTTAATGACAGTGTTCAGATTTTATCTTTGCTTAACTTTAGTAAGACAGCAGATGATTTGAAAAGACCTTAAACAGCTTTGGGTTCGGAACGATTGTTAAAGTTCCTTCAATCTTCCTGTTTTGCTACTTATATTATGTGTTGAGGGGCTAGCATGCGAATTTTTATTGGTCACGTCTGTTCAAGCAGCATGTTTGCAGCAAGCATATGTTTCTTAAAAATACAATTTTTAAACCACTTTTCTTTCAAAGTTGTCCTTTTTATTTTTAAAAGGTTTGCCTTGAAGTTGTAGCGCCGGAATATAATTAATATATTTTTTTGTAACTGTTTTAAGTCCCGAAAGTTTGTCCCGTCTCTAAATTGTTTTCTAAGACTTTTTGTTTCAGGTAGTAAAATTAGACTTTCTAACTCTTTTTAGGAGCTGCATTCGCAACAACAATTTTGTGATGGATCCTTGTCCTTTAGGATTTGCGGAAGAAGATCCAATTACAATCATTTCGGGAAGTTTTAAAATATATGGTGAATGATTAATATTCTTAACAATATAAAAATATTGATAAAAGATGCTTATATGATAATAGATAAGTATAGGTACGTAAAGATTATAAGTTAGTAAAATGTTGAGCAAAGAAGCAGGTATCATATATAAAAAATCGCTGTGCACAGATTATCCTCAACTAGTTTTTCATAAGGATGGACTTATATACCTGGGCGTAGGGAAAGCAATTATAGCATAAACCAAGATGTGTTCAACATTTGAAACATTAATTTTAATCAGAGTAAAGTAAGAGGTAATACTCTTTCTGTTATACCTTTTTAAAAATACTGGTTAGAGAAACTGTAAGTAAAATGAGCGAGATCAAGAACCAGAAAAAATTCCATGTTTTAAAAGACAAAGCTTACTTACTACATATTGAACTTCAAATTCATGTGCATACTAATTGTAAAAATTATAATACTGAGTTATCTAAGATAGTGTCAATAATATTTCACAGTTTATCTGTTCAGGGACCGTTATAAAAACGTACAGCGCAAGATAGAAGAAAACGACAAAAAATGTATGAAATGATGGTATACAACTCTAAAAACCGAATTAGACATCATATATACACAAGTATTATGGTTAATTACTATTATATTATCCTCTCCTTGTAAAGCATAAGTTAAACTACCCGACCTCCATCAGTGACGCCGTTAAGAGCTTTTATTCACGCTGTTTATTAATGGGAGGGGTAAGTTGGCTTTATTAAGTTCAACAAGACTCCATGATTAGTAATTTTGTGACATTAATACTTATAAAAGCATCCAGGCTTATAAATATACCGTGCAGAATTCTCAAGGGAACCTTCTAAGAAAATACATGGTTTAATTGAACAGGTAGTCTAAGGTTGACCATGCTTTAAAAAGCGAAGTGAGGAGCTGTGTGGCGAGTACGCATGGTCTAACTAGTATAAATTAAATTTTTTTTAACTCTAATGCTAACTTGCTGGATCGAGAGGTAAAGTGCGATGTGCTGTAATCTTAATGTTAACATGTTCCTTCCTTCTCAGCACCGGGTTCAGTGAGTACAGGAAAATTAGTTAATTAAGTTTATCACCCGTTAACTTTTGCTAATTCCAGAGTAATTGTAGCTAATACAGTGTACCTCATAGCAGAGGCTTGCCAATCACCATAGTAATGATGGTGTTATTTTTAAAGAGGGCTGTAACATATTTAAAAACGCATAAAAATTTTTATAAATTAGATTTATTAAGTCATCAATTCTGTATTTTTTAGTGGCTGCTGTTGAGCCTTCATACAAAGAGCATCGGTTGCTAACAATAAGGGAAATGAACTTTTAACGATATTCATTGTATCTGCCAGGTTTTTTAAATAGATATTCGACCCTATAAAATATGCTGAAGCAGCTAAGATGCACCCAAAAAGATCGTGGCCGAAAAGAACAAATAAATTACTTCTAAGGAGAAGGCCAAAAAATGAAGGGCCACCATTTTCAGCTTTTTTCAAAAATTTGTTATTTTTATAGCATATAAAAAGAATGCTAACGGAAAAAAACAACTCCGTTGAAAACAACACAGCCCACGCCGATAAATGAGCAGAATAAACTTCCTCATTTTCCAGCATTTTCGTTTGATATCTTTTGTAGCTTATGTGAAATCTAGCAAGGGAAAAGGCCAGGGTCACTAGAATTAACAGGTGCCTTAAAAATTTTAATGTTTTTGAACCTTTAGTAAAAATATATGTAAATAGTCCGAAAAAAAACAATAAAAAAGTATAAAAATAAAAATTATAAACCTGGCAATAACAGAGCACGTAATTTCAGATAATTACAGTATAGAATTGTAAACTCGAAGAAAATCCAAAAGGGCTCCATGGTAAAAAAAGACAAATAAACGTAGTTACTATACCCGATTGATGGGTCGTAGGGTAACATATTAAAGGTAGCTGTTAACCAAGCCCCAATAAAGCCTAGAAGACATAATATGTTGCTATTAATATAAATAAACAATTGAGCAGTTCCAAGAATAATACTTAACCATAAACAGATGAAAATAGTAA